GGGGGGGGGTACGAGGGTGTTGTTATTGAAACAATATGTAACTAAGTGGAGCGCAGTGGAGAACGGGGCCTTCTAGCCGTTCGTTTGAATGCATACGTGCAGAGGCTTCATTAGTTCTAATTGGGATTCGAGACCGTTGTGGTGTTTGTGGTGGTCGGGTGCAAGGGAATAATAGTTATTATGGCATGGCCGCGGTTGGGAATGGCCGGTGGTAACGCTTGTGCGAGGGAAAATAGGGGTATAGGCAGTGCGGGGGGGGGATAGGTTCGTTTAATTCTGGTAGCAAATACTGGGTTTAAGTGTAATTAGCTGCTTGGGGACTTGAGACCTTTCGGAGTGAAAAGAGAATTTTTTCAAGAATTCGGAGAATTTTTTGGGAAAAAGCAAAATTTCAGAGAATTTTAGTGAATGGAGGAAGAAGTGTTTCGGCCAGTAAAAAGGGAAAAAGGAAAAAAGGAGATCGGGCGAAAAAGACCTAGAAATGGATTTCGCTCTACGCTTACACGACTTGTTTGGTAACTTTTCACCAATTTTATTCCCCGTGAATGTCCCCCATATTTTAAATAGTCCTTCAACGACTTATTACACTCCCTGCGCTCGTCTCTACGTCATCGCGCTCGTTTTCCAGGATTCAACGTTCAGGATGCTGGTACGGCGTAGCAGAAGAAACGATGAATCCACTCGATCGAGTCTACGCGAGGCGATTACCGATAAGGATGCCTCAGTCTGACTGATAATGGGGGATGAGGGCAATTTTTGTGGCCTCGTCGGGGTTACCCGACTATGTTCGGTTCCACCCAATAAGCACTGGGTGGCTGGCTCAGCCCTCCAGCCATCTTTCTATCCAGAACCACTCTCTCGTGCTCATTGACATTACAACCTCCACCGAAAACCATTTTATGACTCTAGTTATACATTTTTTTTCGAGGTTCAGTGGTTTAAACGACTTCCTCGGCGATTTTTATCGGTAATGCAGGGGGAAGAGTTGAAATTGGTGATGAACGAGATTCATAAAGATTGGGGAAGATGATGGAGAGATAGATCGAATTGAAGAGATAAAGACTTTCAATTTTCTTTTAGAAAATTGATTTTTTTAAAGAGTAAAATTTTGAGAAAATGAAAACAGCATTTACCCAATTCTTATTTCTTATCCCTAGAAAACAGATTTTCCTTGCGACTGTCCCCATGTTTTTCATAGACAATGTTTATAATATTCCCCAGCGAGGGAAAAAAATTTTAACAAGCTGTACTACACAGTTTAGGAGTTGATAAATAATGAAATGCGAGGAATAATAAAATTTTTTGTAAAATTTTCTAGCACATAGTTTTTGCGATGTGATGTCCAACTACAAAAGTAGAAAAGTATTCCACTGAAAAAAATTGTCAAAGTACTTGAATATCCTTACACTGTTGGAAATTTCTTGAAATTGTAGTCACAGCGAGTAGACTTTGAATCAATTTCAAGTGAAGACGTTCACTGAATTTCTCATTCATCTTCAAAATTCAAGAAAATTCGGGTTTTCATGTTAAGCATGTCAAACAAAAATAACGTAAAGTTGAGATATCACAAAATAAATATAATATTATGCGCCCCATATACCGTAACGAAAACATAAAACATTTACGAGAACATGTTTGTCCGTGATTCACCACACGGTAGTTATATACGCAGAGATGGAATGCTCTTCATGCACCCTCCACGTAATTTACATTGTTTGACAAGAAGCACTATGCCCCAGTGTGGCGAATGCTTTGAAGTTGCGACTCAAAGGGGAAGTAACTTTTTCCCCTCATTTTTTTCATTCTAAATTTTTCCTCTCTCTCTCTCCGCTTTTTTTTCCTCTCTTTCAGTTCAACCCAGGGCAACACCGGTACCTGGAGGAGTCACCCCCGGTGGATGTGACGCACGTAGAGACTACTCTGGGCTACATACATTTGCGAACAAAGGTGGATTATTCCAGGGGAAAGAGCCATGAGCACTAGGTACAACAGTACAATTCATCCAGGGGGATCCGATGCAATTTATGGTAACGAGGTATTGTTATTCCAAAAACGAGACTCACCGACTCTCGGCAGTTAGTTGGACACACGCATTTTGCTTCGCCAGTACTGTCGCTCTCGCATTTACCGTAGTTGTCGCATTGTTTGCTCTCGCAGCCATCTGGAAAGATAAAAATGACGTTCTTAGGGGTTTTCTTGAAAGTTGAAAAAAAAACTCGCAACAGTAGTTTCATCCAGTTATATCTCCGATGAAGTTCAGTTAATCCCGAATCCCCGTGTTCTTCCCCCGAAAAAGATAACGATAATTCACTGAAGCGTTGAATAAATATTCAATGAAATTTACGGTGGTGAAAATAAAATCAACGTTAAATATTTCACGCGATCTGTTGGCTCGCTCTCGTCTTGTGAATCTCTCTGTAGATTAAAACGCGGTTTCATGCATATCACGATGGTCGGGACTCTCTCTGCCTTTGCGCCCACCTACCGTGTGCTATGAGTTGTTACCCCGAGGCATGCATGCTGCATATGCATGCAAGCCCCATTGGCCCACCAGCCAGCCCTCCCCCAGGTGCCGTTATACCCCAACATCACCACTACTCATTGTGTTACACGTATATCAAGTAAAATGTAGTGTTGCTAGGTTCAAACCAACACCCTCTACATTTTCGTTCTCTTGTTCTATCTTGCGAGGCGAGTCCCTTGTCTCTAGAGATCTTCCACTGGATTTCAATGAATCCTGAATATGAGTCCTCACCACACCCCTCGTATTCATCATCTTCATGAATTTTTCTCCTCGTCTAGTCGATATTTCACTTTTTTTTTATTCAACGAGAAAATGCGACGATTCTAGGTAAATAATCATGCAATTGTTTCAATAATGATTCGTTACAGGAAAAAACGAGTGCGAAGCAATATTTTGATGACGTTTTCCTGAAGAACAACAATTTCCATACAAAATGTTTTCTGATATTTTTTCAAACTCACCGATTTCCGAGATATTCGTAAAATTATACTTCGCAAAATTTCACGATAGAAAATTGTGAACAGACACTTTAAAGTCTTAAAATAATATAAGAAGTGATTGAGGTAATTTTTCTTGCATCGCCTGTAATGGAAAAAAGAAATGAACGTCATATTTCACTCTCACTCCCTTCATTTCCATTTAAACTTCTATTTATGTCGATTCAACAAAACTTGATGCACCCTGAAAGGCGATTCTCCCGAGTTTATGATTTCTACCGTCAAACTTCTCAGAACATGACATTCAGAATGGCATTAATAAAGATTCTCGGGTATTTGCATAACTGCATCCCCTTCCTCCACCGTGGAAAACCCTTCCTTAAGCCAGGGAGAATTATCTTCTACAGCTTTGAATGAATATAGAAGTGAAGGGAGTGTGGCGGAATGGTAAAAGTGAGAGGTATGAAGGAGGAAGTAAAACGGAAAAACAAAGTGGAGGAGATGGTGAAAAGTTGTCATTAAAATTCATGGGAACTTGCGACTATGATTCTTGCTTTACGTATTTGCGCATTTGTCATTATTCTCGTGATCATTGCAGCATCAACGATGTATATGTGCGGACTTGTGGTTATTATATTTGGAAATTTTCATTCAAACAATATCTTATTTAAATAATAATCAACAATTATAAATTATTCAAATGAATGAATTATTCATTTAAAAAATATTTAGGTTGATCATGAATGAATTCGTATATTTATTGTAATGAAAATGTTTTAATTACGTGAAATTTAAGATTTTCGCTGAAGAAAATCGCTGACGATTCAACCTTGGACCTTCAGTCGAAGTTTAAAGAGTGAAAATGAGACTCAAATAGAACCTCTGATGTTCGACTTCAAATTATGAAAGGGATTTTAACAAGTAAAAAAAATTGCTGAAATGGTAAACTGTCTCAAATTATTTCTACGAAAAAAATGCTAAAATACTTGAAAATTTTCAGAGGATACATCAAACGGGAGAGCGTAATGCATCAATTATCCGATGCCTGACGCCAAAAACGGATCAAATTAAGAATTTCGATAAAGACGATAGGTCAAGAGCCCTCATAATTTTTTGGAATTGTTAATTAAATTTCTTCTCAAATTTTCTCATGCTCAATAAACCAATTATCTACGTAATAGCGCTCTCAATCGCCAACGCAAATCCCCCCGCCATGTAACCACCCACCAGCGATAGTCAGTTTCCATCCACCTGAAAGGTCTGTAGGTCATGGGGAGTCAGAACACGTGTACTCTGAAATTTCATGCACATACGTATGAGGTCAAACGCTAACGAGGCATTTCACAGGTGTTTATTTCACGTGAGAATTTACTCACGAACGTGAATCTATTTTTGTACTAGATTTTTCATCAAGATGGAGAGAACAAAGCAATCTTTTTCCTCTTGTTTGTGAAAAATGAAAAAACGAAATGGAAAAATTTCAAACTACTTCGTGAACAGGCAAACGATTTCTTGATCTAAACAAAGATTTCATTCTTTAGAAATTGAATTATTACCAACGACGTTCGGCGAAGACGTGCGACTACGAGAGAGTTAAATTTTCTGAGTCGATTCCGTAATCGGTAGGCGAACTGTGAGTTCCGCAATTTTTACTGAACATTTCTCTCCGTGGATTAAAAATAATTGAATTCTCTCAAGTAAATATGGTCTATATGTCAGAAAATTTTGCTCTCAGTGTACAATATGAAATTCTGAACCCGTAGAATGGAAAAGTAATTCGTTACTCACTGCACAATCCCTGGTAAAGAACTTTGATCTCCCTCCGGTGCTGACAAGCCTCCAATCTGAGCTTGCACTCATTCCCATAGCTGATACCATCGTCACCGCAAACTGGATTGAATTCAACCGAGCATGTGGGACATTGGCAGGTAGCAGTATCTCCCTGCTCAGCGCAGATGGCTCCCCATTGACAGATCTGTAAGTAATCCAAGTGGCATTCCTCGCAAATAAAAAAGAGAAGAAAAAAATGCACGAAAAATAGGGGGGGAAAAAATTATTTGAAAGGAATAGGGGAGGTAAGAAAAATACTCTATCCAGAGGGAGAACATTTTCCACGTCACGTTCTATTTCTATAACCCTCAGGATCGAGCGTGACTGGGCTCTTCATTACTCCCAACCGCCAGTAAAAAAGGGAGAAAGGAAAATTCTGAAAGTTGATTTGATATTTTTTTTCATTCTCATTTCTGAGCATTTTTCTTTTATTCGAGACTGCTGGCAAGGTTTGATATTACTCTTTAATTTCATGGCAGAATGTCCAATCAGTTTTTATTGAATGGATTAGTTGTACTGCAGTAATATAAATACAAAAGCATTTTCCTGCAGAATATTTTTTTTGATTGTTTAGCTATTCTGATTATTTTGGGAATATCTCGTGATCGACTGGTCCCACGTAAAAATCTCACACCATCTTTTTTATCGAAAATTGAATTCTCTACAAAAAAGTTTTTATGACAAACTCCGCTAAATCTCTTCCTTCCGGAGATATTCCCAAAGTAAAAAATCCAGAAAAATTTGATGAATTCCGTTTCTTTCCTGCGTTCACTTTTAATTCAGATATTCCTCTTTGATTTCACGGAGGCACCTAATTAGCTTCCACCCGATGATTAGGTTAGTCTGGAGTGCGACTCCCGAGTGCAATATGAGCCCAGATATATCAATATAATTCTCTTGCCTTCTCAGTGCAAGGTCCTCGAGACCCGCAGTTGCCGATGTATGCGACCTCGATGTTACTCTTCGTCAGACACGCCTGTCTCTTCAGTTCACATTGTGACTTGTACGTTGTACCGTCAGCGCCACAGACTGGCACCAATACAGGCTCACATTCTGGTCCACATTCGCATTTAGTAATGCCATAACGATCGATTGCACACTCCTCGAATTCACTGCAGTGTGCATCATCACAGGGATTCGTTCCTGTTAATTAAATTACGAAAGGGGTGAATAAAATTTTTAATTTCGTCGGGGGGAGGGCAGTGAGAGGGAGATTTCAAAGAAACTTTATTCCAGTGCCGCATTATTCCGGAATGATTCGATAAAATTGTGGATTTTTTAATTAAAGGAGTGAATGAAAATGAATGGGGGAGATAATTCTGTTGGTGTGATGTGATTAAATTTTTATTTTTCCAAGGGATGGGATAGGGAATAGAAAGAGTGAATGAATGGAGTGCTAAAACGTTAATGGATCCAATGAGAAAGAGTAAACAAAGATGATGGTTTGATGGATCTTCAATCAAGAGCGATTGAGAATCTGAATGCAATACAGTGAAAATGATGATCGATTTTTTCACTTTGAACGAATAACATTAATATTCAAATACACGAGGTGACAATATTCTATGCACGGAAATATATTGATGAGAGGAACAACAGAGCGATTGAATTAAAAATTGATAACAGGGTGGGCAGGCACTTCTACCAGAATATTAAGGATGTTCAGGAAATTTCGGAAATATTCCTGAACAACTAAACCACTTCGCTACTGACATGATTCCCATCGGTCGTATTGCTTTTTGCAATGAGAAAGATTACAAACAATTAATTGAAAAAGGAAGTATTGAATCGGATGGGTAAAAGGGCACAATGAAAGGGCGCCAACGGGGTGGCGCTAGTCTCTAATAAAATTTAATCATATTCGTCAAGTCCAGATTACTCCACCACATTAATACCGACATCCAATTTTACTCAACCTCCCAGTGGAACAGAACAACCCCCGAAAAACCTCTTTCCACCAACTGTAATGAAATCCTCATTTTAAAACTAACCTGAGCTACATGCGCCATTGTAAATTTTTCTGAGTGGTAATCTCGACCTGCACGCCTCCTGCCTGAGGCTGCACTCGTTGGAATAAGTTCTACCATTGCTACCACAAACCGGCGAGAATTCAAGACCGCACTGTTCCCCACAGCGACAACCCGGCTGTCTTGATTCATCCAGTTGACACACTTCTGGCTCAGTGCAATCCAAACTGCCACAGGGATCTGGAATTAAACGTCAATTTGGCATTTAATTAGGAATCATTTTCGCCGGTTATGGTCCCCCCGGGGTGGTATCATCGTCTGGTAAACATGGCGGGATTTTTTTTGTGATAATAGGACATTATTGTTGATCCTCGTGCGGGGATGAGACTAATAGGCGGACGCTCGTGTCGTCTGCGCGGGGAGGGGGTGCGGATCGTAACGGCTGGGAAAAACGAGGAAATGAGGGGAAAAGCTGAGGTGGGCCGTTGTTGTCTGGGGGATTAATTCCCAAATTTCGGGAGGAACTTAAGCCATTATTCAATTAATTCTGAATATCTTTTAGTTATCGTGGGACAAGCGATTTTTGAAAAAATTCAAAAATTGAAAAAACTAATCGATAAATTCAGTAGTGAAGTGATAAAACGGTTTAAGTCGACTTGTCTCTTAGTTGAGTTTTTGAAGAATATCTCCGAATCTAAAGGAGATAACGAAATTTTCGTAATAACCTTTTTTCTAGAGAAAATCGAGTGCTACAAAAAAGGTCTTGCTAAAAATTTTGCTATCTCCCTTAGATTCCGAGATATTCACTGAAAAATGGCCAATAGTCAAAATCGACTCAAACCGTTTTACCACTTCGCTACTGAATTCAATTTTAATTAAAATTCGTTCATTACCGAACAATTGAAGAAAAATTTTGTTCGGACGAGGTCTAAAAATTGCATTTTCCGAGGCAAAAAAAGTATTGATCCTCTACTCAAGTCCTACCAATTTACTGATATCAAATGAGTGAAGCAATCTCAACAGCGATAAAGAAATCGGAAATGTAAGAGCTCACACTGCGCTGCGGCTGAGATTCGGTCAGTCCGTTCCGGGGATATTCCGTCAAGATTAATCTCCCGGTCTACGATCGAGGGCCGGCGAGGGGGAGGGGGTTTTGCAGGAAGGAACTTGGATTCCGCTTCCCGTTCGCCCGAATCTCGGGTTTCAGTTCTCTCCTGACGAGGCAAGTTGCTTTTCTCGCGCCGCTGGAAGCACTACAAGCAAACGCGCCTTGTTTTCTTGGCTAGGGGGTGGTTGAGCTTAAGTTACAGACCAATGGAGCGGATAAACACTCCCTCGGCCGCCGATCGCCTGGCTAATGGAATTCACCCCTCTTCCATCCTCGTAGCCAATGATTTTTCCGTTTCGCCTGAAGCGATAAGTGCAATCTTGGTTTTGTTTTTTGGCGGTGCCGGCGGTGTTCGCGGAATGGAGGGGGGGAATATACGGAAGATTAGGATCACATGTTCTTGAGAAAATGCGGCAATGACCGGATTCAAGGATAAGAATGAGTAATTTCATTGAATAAAATGGGAATGAATGTTGATTGAGGGGAGATAGACTTGTATCGACGCAGCGATGCTTTGAGCTAACAATCAAGATCTCTCAGGATAACGTACGAATAATATAATTATTTTGAGGATGTTTAAAAAAACATCCTCAATAACAATTAAAAACAATATTTTTTTTTGAAATTTTGTATATCGAAAATAAATTGTTAATGTGTGTGTGATGTCCACAATTTTTAGGAAATAAATATAATTAAAAATTAAAAATAATACACCAATAGACATAATGCAAAATAAAACCAAATAATGGCGCAACATTAATAAAAAAAATCCTAAAATAACATAGAATAACTTGGCTGAAGGCCCTCGGGCGATGGTCTACTGTAAGAGATTTATTTTTTGTGTATTTTTCTTACAATAAATTTCGTCAAAAATTGAAAAAAAATTAATTAACATAGAATAAATAGTTAATTTTTTATACGAAACGCGGAGACGTAAATTACGTTTAGCAAAATGTAATTAACGTTTAGGTTTATTGATAATGATCCTCTAGACAATTGTGAATAATTCGGCCCCAACTCTCAAGCCTTCAGAATGAATGCACCCCCATATCGATTCTCGTCTAGCTGCGGCTGGGAGAAGGACGGGGGACTTCAGGTGGTTGAGATCAGTCTGGTGTAGACGATAACGTGGAAACTCAAGAAGGCGAGAGAAACTCAATGCGATGGGAGACTGATGTGTGCATCCATATACACTATTTTCTCCCCCGTTATTTTATATATACCTGCCAGTGGATGTTCACACTGTACCTGTCTCTCCACTAGCGTGTTCCACTTTCGGTTGGGTTGACGCTCATGTAAACCAGCATGAACGAAAATTTTCACCGACGAAAATACGCGGGGGAAACTGGCAAGACAGCATCAATGATGAACGAATGGGGGAGAGAGGAGGATCACGCTTTGTTGAACGTGGAAGCTATATGTGCTCAGTGTGTAATGTATTTCCAGGGGACTGTTCACTCGGGGTGAGCACGAGTATCTTCAAGTCTGCTATTTTTGGTTCAAATTGAATGTTAGCGAGGGAATTACGTTGTCAGATTTTTATTTTGTCACGGACGTGTGAATTGTTGAGATTCGTCACCTGAATTTTCGCTGGGGTATCGCTCACGAAAAAGAAGAGGGAAATTTGAACGATTACAATGCTTCCCTTCGGGAGCAAAAAATCGAAGTTTAAAACGTCAGTATTATAATGGAAAAGTTTATTTGAAGGAGTCGATAACAATGAGACTCGCCTTCCGTTTCAGCCCCTCGGGGATCTACTCCAAATTTTTTAATAAAATCATTCAATCACTTCAAGAGTCCCCGGAAATGGTTACCCACAGCTCATTAATTCTCAAAGTCGCGAGTCAAAACCTGAAACTCATTGAGATTCGCGTGACGCCTGTCCTTTTAATTCAATTCCATTCTGACTCCTAAACGCACGTATAACCCTCAACCGCTGTCAATAGCATCCTCACTCCTCCATTCGATTATTATTCCACCCTTAGAAGTTACTCGAGGGCGATGCAAAGAAGTGGGTGTGAGGGGGAGAGAGAGAGAAGAGAAAAATGAGTAAAAATTGTAAGAATGGAAAAAAAACTGGGGAAAGTTTGAGGTGGAGGTAACTTTGAAGATTAGAGAGCAACGTCAACCGCCTCACGTTGCAAGCCCGCAGGGGGTTCGAGGGGGTGGGGCGGAGATGCTGAAAACAATTGCCTTGGGAGGGTGATGGCAGCTGAATTTTAAACGAGTGACACTTATCTACAGGCGATGACTGATTTCAGTGACGGGGACAGGGTGGAGTTGATAAAATTATTTTTTTTGTGGGCATGAATTCTATCGCCGCTTCGGGGAATTTTTCTTCCGCTCCTTCGGATTTTTTTCCCATTCTTTCGTTCATTCAAACAATGTAGATGTTTTTTTGATTGTAATTTTTATGGAAATACAATTTTAATCAAATAAAATACAATTTTTATTCACAGTTAATTGTAATTGGGACAAAAATCGGTAAGTTTGATGGCTGTCACATATTTTTTTCCCCGAATTTCCAAGAGTTTCTCCTATAAAAACTAAAAAAAAATTCTTCTCAAATTTTTTCTCTAAATATTTCGGCACATTAGTAAATTTATACTGAATTGCACAAATCTATAAACTAATTCTTGACTATTCAACCAATTTTAACATTAAAGTATTTCCTGGGCTCAAAATCTATGCAAATTGTACTGTTGACTAGTAATTTTCAGGAGAGTTAAATTAAATTCGATTTTGGGGAAAAACATCATAAATTTCTGATTTCCCTGAGAATTCCATGAAATTTCAATTAATTAAAAATTTTCAATTACGAAATTCGGGAAATTCACCCAAAACTTCAAAACAGCAAAATCCTAATTCCCTCTCGAATAAACAAAACAAAACCTACGAAAACCAATCTCCTCATTCCAGAAAATAAAAAAAAAACCTTAAATCCCGCGTAATGTGTTTTCCAAATCGTCAGTGCACACTGTCGCGTAATGAAAAAAAGGTACTTCTCTCATTGTACGCTTTGTAACGGTAATAATCCTGAGCCCCATGAAATCGCTTAATCTCATGACCATTGGAGGAGGTGAGTGCACCCCCCAGTCCCCACGGGGCTGCTCGTTTAAAAGTTAGATTCGGTACGTTTCCTGCCTCGTCAACGTTCAACAACGTCGTTCGATATTTCCTCTCTGCCCAGTTTTTCTCCGCAGTGCATTGTCAAGCCTCCCAATGGTCGTTACGTTTTTTTCCTTCTTTTTTTTATTTCATTTTGTAGGCATCCCTCGAGGGGTTGGAAATGACGTTCCCCTTTTTCGATATTTCGCATCATTTTTCCCGGTATTCGGCTCAGTATAACGATTTGCAGAATACTATCGTTGAAATTCAATCGTTGGTATTCAATTTTGAGTTTTCTGATATTTATACTGTATTCTTGATCCTCACGTGGTCGCACAATGAGGGAATCCCCGCTGTTTTTCAATTTTTGTTTTTTCACACGCAAACTTTGTCAGGGAAAAATTAATAAAAATTTATATGTATACTATCATAATTCGCCTGATAGATTTTCCTCGTCTTTTAAAAAAAATATATATATTTCCTCCCAAAAATTCCCCACCTCTAGAATGATTTCATCAAGGAGTACCGCCTCGATTATTCCCGCAACTGAAGCTCGGAACAAGAATGTAATTACAACCTCATGATTTATTCATCATAAAAGTCTCCAAAGAGTCACGAGAAATTGACGTTAATTCCATTTACGTTGGCCCTTAAATTTCCGTCCGAGATATAAAACGAAGGTATGTAAAAGGGCTGTTATGTCTCCCAGAGATATAACGTTTATGCCCGCCAACTTATTGATCTCAACGTGAGAGTGTTCGCTCATGGAAGAGACAACTGGTGACGATTGATAAAGGGCTGGCATTGTCGAAGAGACCGATGTGCCCAGTGATATATTTTTTCCGTTCACCGAGGAGTGTTCCATTCCCGGATATTACTTCCCTTTGTTCATTCGCTGATGACAAATAATAAAAGAGGGTAAAAATGGTATGACAATCAGAAAGCAGATTTTTCAGTTGAAAATTCATTCGCCGGTGTTGAATTAAAAATTTTTCCATCGCGGGAGGCAGAAAGCCCCCGAGGAAATGAGAAAAATAGCTCCGTATTTATTCTTTCGCTGATTGAAGAATAGACTGAACACGCTTCATTGAAATCAATTGTTAATTAGAGATTGGAAAATTTATTAAGTGATTAATATCAATTATCTGGGGGATATTTGATCCGCAAACAGGAGCCATTGTGAAGGGGAAGTGGGTGATCCCCACATTTTCGGGGAACTTAGCTAATCCTAAGTAAATAACGCATTCGTATGTCTGGCTGATCAAACATTTGTCTTCACTACTCGCTCGATTAAACAGCTACTGTGTTTCCATTGGATTCTTGTTCCAGTGAGAATGTCCATCACAATAGAATTTCTATATTGCATTTGATGGCAATAATTGCAAGCGTGACGAATGCAAGAGACAAACGCAAAAATATGAGATCTTTGGGAATTTTTAAACTGAAAATTTTTTTCGGACTCATTGTTTCGCACGGATTGTTTTCTATTTTGGTTCTATCTCTCCCCTCAGTTCACATACTTGAATGAATTTGAAACATCAGATTTGAAGAAACCATCAGACAGCTCGCTTTCAGGGAAATTCATGAAAAATTCTAAATTTTCAACAATCATCGTAAAAATCAAATCAACGAATACAGCTATCGTAATCATCTTTTAACTTCGACTTAATGCCATTAAAAAAATCATTTTAAGCGATGATTGAATTCATCTGAAGCATGATATTCAAAGATATCCCCGGAATTCTGATTTTCAAAAAATACAAAAGTTTGCAAATTTTCAAATAAACCAAAAAATCGAAAATCGAAAAAACTGATCGATGAATTAAATTTTAATTAACGGCGATCGATAGGGCTCAACAACATCTACTTTTGTAAAAAAAATCAATTCCATCCATTCATTACCGAATAATTGAAGAAAACTTTGTTACATACGTAACTTAAATTTAAACAGTTATAAAGCTTCCGTTCGGAAGCAAAAACCTCACTTCAACCTCACCTAATGCCACGAGAGCTCGAAAGGAAGCAGAAATGTGTCACTCGCGACATGATGCGCTGACCGAAGACGAGGAGAATGTGAAATGCCCGTAATCCATAACAAAGATGGCAGGAGGTATTTTCTCCGTTTCCCCGGGATTTCACGTAACTGTAAATCTTGGATATCGCGCTGTTACGGCTGACTGTTTTCGGCTCGCTTCCAACCCCCCCCCCTCCCCCCCCTGCCCCTATCGTCTAGATGTTAACTGACCTGTGGCACACGTGTGTGCGGGAATTTTAGTTCTCCGTCATCGGCATCGATTTCGGCAGCGGGGACTTGCGGAGAAACACCTGCAATGCCTGCCCTGGACCTACCTGGCTCACATTCATCGTGAACCCGGGGTGCAGCCCTCACACTACCCCACCGACTGACGATTTATCATTGTCCGCCTATAACGCAAACGATGGGAGGGTTCATACCGGTGCTCTTCGTTATATATAACGATAGCGCCCGATTTCACAGTGTTATCGTCTATCTTTCCCTTCGCTCATTCAACTATTCCCTACGTCCCTTAAACTATTCAGTTTTACCGCCCATCGCCGGGGGGTTTTCTAAGGGTGCTTGGACTTCTGCGGGGGCGGGAATGCAGCGGTAGACGCTCTAGGAAATTGATAAATAAAAGGAATGATTTTATTCAAATAAAAATTTGTATTGAAACCTCAATTAGCTTTTTATTTACGCTGAATATTCATGTTTTGATTGAAGTTGCAGGAAGTTCGGGAATTCTCATCTCCTTGTTGCCCAAAAATTTGAAATATTAATTAATTAATTATTTTTTATTTATTTATTTTTTATTCATATTTCTTCAATTAATTAATTTCGTAGAAATTTCAATTTAATTTTAATTTCAATGATTTTTTAATCATAAGGTTTTGGAAGGGATATCCAAGCATATTTTATAGTTTGGTACAAAGCACAATGTGAATTCAACCATTTACAGTCATCAAATTATTTTCAAGGTGAAAAATTGGTTGTTTATAAATTATTTCCATAGCGAAGTGGTAAAACGGTGCGAGTCAATTTTGACTATTGACCAGTTTTCACTGAATATCTCGGAATTCAAGGGAGATACCAAAATTCTTGTTACAATCTTTTTAGTAGAGTAGATTGAGAGCTACAACAACTGTAATTACGAAAATTTCGCTATCTCCCTCAGATTCGGAAATATTCCTCAAACACTCAACTGGGAGATCAGTCGACTTGAGGCGTTTTACCACTTCGCTACTGATTTGTAGAAAATGCTTGTAATTTCAGGGAATTCCATTCCTCCCCCCAAATATAAATTTGCGACTTCCATAATTCTCAATTGTATATCGCAAGTCTCAAATTAAAATCAGTTTTCCTTTGGTTGAAGTTCAATGTTCATTAAATCCAACTTTTTCTAAACAAACTACTTAAAATGCGTCACATCTCCAGCTGCGGTAGCAGCAGCGCATCAACTCACCGCATTTCCCTTTGAACTCAACCGTGACATTGACCCCCTTCTCACAAACGAATTGATTCAACGCACAAACACTGGGGTAATCAATGCCATCACTTCCGCAAACGGCATCCTGCTCATCAGCATTTGGGCAGCTCTTCACGCACTCGCACGAGCCTTTCGTGCCGTCCGCACTCTTCACACACTCGGTACCGAGCGTGCAATTAACACCGTGACAAGGGTCCTTGATTTCTGGAACAAACAAACGAGGAAAAATCATTGGACATTTGCATTTGAATTTTTCAGGCGCTATTCAACCGCTAATTCAACCTTTTGGGTGCGTACAGCAGCCGTTGATGCTCCACAAAATCATCGGCAGCAATACCGTGGCCAATTTCATGATGTAACTGTACCAGAAAATTCATCACATTCGACAATTCTTCTTCGCCATTGGGGGCGGCTTTTTTCAGCGGGAATTCCCGATGAGACATTGATACTGGGGTGACGCTGTTATTCGTTCGATTGAGCGCGGGGGCGGAAGTAATCGACGATGAATGGACAAAGGCACCTGCGATTAGCCCGTAAACTCGGTAATTCAATTTTCTATGACTGATCATTGATGCGAGAAGTGAATTAACGATAATGGAGTAATGGGCGCGTTTCGGGGATTGTTGGGCGAGTGAATCCAGTGGAGAAGTGGTGAGTGGAGATAATTCCGAATTTTCGGGGGCTTTGCTTTGCAAATATCTGGAGAACTACTGGGTTCAGGGAAAATGCGAGATGTTGGGGGATTAAATCAATTCGAACTCGTGGAATTATTGAATTCACCGGAATTAGTAAAATTAAATATCCTAAAATAAGACTTTTTTGGTTGGAAATGAGATGTTTGCTGGCATTTAAAGAAGTTTCCAAGTTCTCAGTTCTAATTTAAATTTACAAATTTCACTTTATTATGTTGAATTTTCTAGAAATTAATCACAAAAACCCGAGTTGTCGTACGTACACACAGACGTGACGCTAAAAACATCATTTTTTCACGTTTTGTAATCTTCTAGACCATTTGCAATCAAAATGAAAAAATATGGGAGATTTTCAACTTGGGAATTTTGGGGATTTATTCTTCCCCAAAATTCCCAAAAGAATTAATTTCGCAAAAATATTGCGATTTCACCCCGCTTACAACAGCGTAATCTCTCTATTTAAAAAAAAAAACAATTACGAAAAAACTGTGATATAATTTTAAAAATGTAAATGAAGATGGATTGACTTTTCAGCCGTTACAGCGTGTTTTTCTGCGACATGTCTATCCACAAGAATCGGTTTTCCGAAACAAAGTGTAATCCCTTGGACTCTTATGTGGGGTGAAGGGCCACTTAATGGTTACGTCCTACCGCTAATCTACCTTACCACTGGCTTTAGAGTCCCCACGAGGGTGGTTAGCCTCACTTGCCCCTTCTCAACGTATCCGCCATCCATCCCCCTCCCCCTCTGCCTCCGCCGTCGTTCCTCGACCGACCCCTGGCACTTTCTCTTGGTACACTCGACATCTACTAATTATTCTTTCCCTCCAACCGCCCACTCAGCCACATGCCTGACTACAACAGACCGGTCATAAATGTGTTCGACTGACCGCAGCATTTTTATCGGTTGCCTGATCGTGAAATTCATTAATTTGGCGATTAGTTCATCGAATCACTGTTAACGATTTGGGGTGAATATTTCGATATACTTTTTTTTTATAAAATAAAATTCATTAAATGAAGTGAATTTATGTGCATTTAAGTAATTATTTCCGAGTAGGGGGCTTCGCCCCTTGTTCGCTTCGCTCCAAAATCCTGGGGGGCTTCGCCCCCCGTTAGTGAAATAAGAATTGTAAAGAAGAAAACCCATTCGGAAGCAAATTGCTAATCTATTAGCAACAATTACTATACTCATTTACAAAAAAAATGCCATTGTCCACTTGTTTATTTTAAATAAATTATTGACCCAACGAGAAAAATTTTTTTTGTTTCTTTGATGTAGATATTCAGTTTTTGCGAGGACAAATGGTCTCAAATGAGTCATTAACATCACAAATCCAGGAGATGATATTCCAAGAGCCATTTCTCACAGCCCTCAGTCTCCCTCGTTCTGTTTTTTCCCGACGATATCCCCTCGCTGTGACGAGAAACTTCCCGCCTCGGTTTTTTATATTTCTCAAGAATATGTTTCACGGGAGAGCGAGATTTGAGGACTTTTTTGTCGGTCTGGCGTGAAGCTGTGAAGAGGGTTCAATTAAAATGTCTTCCAATTTTTTGCGGGCGAGAACAATTCGGGAATGATTGAGCGAGTTTTGGTGATGGAGGACGGGGAAATTAAATTGTTCTTCAACAAAAAGAGTTTCTTTCTACAGAAAGATGCCAATTAATTTTTGCAAATTAATTAGCACAAATATATTAACTTCGGTGTGATGAAGGCAAGTTCTCGCATTTTTAATCGATTGTCTGATCCATTTTTCGCATAAAAAATTCAGATATCCTTAAAAAAACACAAAACACTCTCTGTGTACGCACCGAATTTTCTGCGCACATAGAACGAAAAAAAAAATTTCGGACAGTTTGTAGATCCCAGAATATCAGAAATAAATCCCCCAGGCAAAAATTCAATTCACAAAAAAAAATCCACCAGTGGTTACAGTATAATGCGGTGCAGTTGGTGGAAGGTAATAAATTATCCGGAAGCAGAAGCAACTCACCATAGAGAGAGAGGGAGAGAGAGAGAAAGAGAGAGAGAGAGGCAGCGTTGGACGCGTCTAGTCGACAAAAAGGGTCAAAATGGATTATTAATTACGGTATAACGTTTCCGTTGGGCGGAGCCGCGGGGATTCCCCCAAACCCTCCCCGGAGGATTTCGGCCTTTTGAGAATGTACATTGTTCAATATAAACCACCAGTGGCTCCTCGATTTCTCCGTAATTGTTAGACGAACGCCAATAATTCCCGCATTCACCCAAACTTTCAAAATTCTCTTTGTTCGTAACTAAATTACTGACTCAATCGGATAAACTCTGGGATATGAAATTCCATATCTACTAATCCCCACGAACGATACTGATACTAATTCGTTTCTACGTAACGAGAATGAAATTCAATCACTTTGATACGTTCAGGGTCATTCTTTTTCTGAGGCTCAGCAAACTGAACAATTCGAGAATATATTTATATATAAATGTAATGTAAATGTTTTTTAAATGTAAAATGTTTCGTGCAGTTTTATTGGAGTTCTCTTCAGACTTTCGAATTTTCAATGCGGAAGTTCACGGAAAATTCAGCTGAAAACTGTGTGGTCCCGATGATCATATTGCACTTTAATTTCAATGTAACTCGATGATTTCGCTTCATTGAATATCTTTTTTTCTCCAAGCATGAAAAAATCCCAGGCGCATTGAACCCAGTAATTCAATAATTACCAAGAAACTTGAGAAGATCGTTAACGACACCCGGAAATTATACACTCCGATGTCTCAAGATACGATGGAGTGATCAGAATGCAATCGATAAATCGATGAGGAGTGTAAACCACACTCTAATGGCGGAAATGAAGGGAAAGAGGAGAAAAGGAACCGAGGGAATGAGTATTGAGGGGCGAGGAGGGATGCGGGGATGCGGAAGGGGTGAATGAAGTCACCACTTGAAAATGACTTCCAATTAGTACCGAGAACTCGAGAAATCGATTCGTTCTTACAGACTTACCACTCCGGGGAAGAGAGTGAAATCAATCAGACACTCACTTGGGTATTTCTGGGAGCTTCCAATCTATTGGGTGATTGTTGATGGGAGCTCGTCGATCGCGGGTTTATTTCGGGTAAACAAAGAGTTTCGGCAGATGATTATATAACACGTTTTTCCTACTCCAACTGGATTTAAATCATTTCATCAATTTCCAAATTGAAATTGCTTAAACTTTCGAAAATTTTGTTGTTTTGGGCATGAAATCGATGTCTGGGAAAATTCTGAATGTGAATAAATTTTTTACGGCTACGACCAAATGATTTTTAGGGTGCACAATTAATTGTTTTTATAGATAATGCTCATAATTTTAAAAAATGGCATTTCAGTAGCGAAGCGGTAAGCCGGTTTTTTGCGAATATCTCGGAATCTAAAAGGGATAGGAAATTTTTTGTGATAACCTTTTTTGTAGAGTCAATTGTTGATTATACAAAGGGTCGTGAGAAAAATTTTGCTATCTCTTTTAGATTCCGAGATATTTATCAAAAACTGGGCAAAAGTCAAAATCGACTTAACCTGGTTTACCGCTTCGCCACTGAATTTTCAAATTATTTCATCAATCTTCTCCCAAAAGTAAACTTTCTTTTCCTTTTTTTTAAGATTTTGAAAATGTTTTCTAATCGTTCAATATCTAGATTCAAATTCAGACCTGGAAAATTTAAGTAATAAAATAATTATAAAATGTATGTAAATTTAGGGTCAAATGAGGTTCAAATAAAAGCCCTGAAAAAGTGCTTGGATATTTTTAAACTGGAGTTTAAAAACATAAAAGAATAATAAAAAAAAATTAAAAAAAATCAATTTTTTATTTAATTTCAAATACTAAATAAAAATTTAATCATCAAAGTTTGAATGTTGGCTTCAATTTCACGAGGAAAAAAAATCCAATTACATTTTTTCATTTCCACTACACTTCCCCCTCGGCGATTAAAGGACTCGCCGCGGTTTGCACCCACTAACACATGAGTTCTGTTATGAAGTAGCCGTGAATATGCGCAAATGGCAAAGCAGACTGATAGCCAATATTCGCCTCTTTCCGTGTCACCACCTATTCCTCGCAAAATTTTGTCACGCGAAATGGGAACATGGGTTATTGCGAGTCACTCGATTTCGTTGTGTATCGCCGTTGGGCAGACAGAGGCTGGAGGGATTGGTTGAAATACACACGGAAACGTTCGACAGGATATCTCTCTGTGACAAGACCCAACCACATCGTTTGTCCAGCGGCTGTGACCGACCGACCGAGCGACTGATGCGACGATTCAGATGACGCCAATCCTGTCGCAGAACGATGAATGAAGAAGAAAGGGATGCATCGGGCCATTTGATTATAGAAATTGCACAGCAAGATCATACAAGTGGGGATTTAGGTTGTTTTCAATCTGAAATTACATCGGATGCAGACGACATTCAATTAGTCGTGCCCCCAGAAAAATGGGCGATTTAAATCAAATAGAAATCTTTATTTGAAATTTTTTCTCATTTC